ACTACTTAAGTTATATCTACTTCTCAGTATTTCATATTTTACAAGTTTTGTTAACAATAATTTATTTAAAGATTTGACTAAAAATAGTATTTATCTTGACTATTCTTATAGTATTTTTTTGTAGTATAATATTTTTGTTGTTGATAGAGAAATTGTTAGAAAGAGTTGTTTTCAATTTTTTTAAATAAAATATTATATTAAAAATATATAATTCTCAAAATAAAATAGTAACAAAAATATTAATATTTATAAATAATATTTTAAAAAGTAAAAAAGTAAAATTAACCCTTATTTTAATATAATTATAATATATAGTAATTCTGTAATTTGATTGGTCAAAATATATTATTTAAAAAAAGAAAATAGATTTTTATAATAAATGAATATTACAAAAAAAACTTAACATTATTAATCATTCTATTTCTGAACTTATTCACAACTTAGTACTAGATTTATCTAGCAACCAAACCCGTGAACTGGTTGAGATGATCCAAGACCATACAGCCTTTAATAATATGCAACTAAAACCTCATGAATCTTTCTTAAAGATTACACTCAAAGGTCTTATTTCTATATCTCTAGTTCAGACTATCTAAAATTTTGACATCCCATATAAGCTAGCATTCCAGATTATCATCAAAATTTTACTTCAAATTAACAAACTTATTTACGAACAATTATGGAAACCATATTGTTGTAATTTTCAAACTGGAAGAAACAATATGAAATTACTCTACCCTATAAGCAACTTCAGCCACAAGAAGCTAATAACAGAACCTCAAAACGAAACTGTAAAACTTATACTTATTCATGCCAATACAATCAACCAGACCAATTATATATCAATAATTTCTGCCCACCACTAGGGTAGGCTATTTTCAAACTTAAAATTTTCAATACATTATAGATCGATTACAGTATATCTTCAAATATATTTTATCTATCACAATCTAGGTGAGTCTTTGACTACTCTAGTAGATTTAGATCACAGATAAAGTAGTCTGAGCTTTTATTCTTGCATGTAGTTTTTACTTTTTATATTTTATGTATTTAAAGGTTAGTAACTCTATGTAGTTACTATGTTAAAAACTATTAATAAAGATATGAGCAAGGCCTCACCTTAATATTAAAAAAAAATAAAAATAATTATAGTTAAATAGTTGAATCTTTTAGCTATTTAGTTAATCAATTCAATTTATCTGAATGTTTCATAAACCTGTTCTGATTTTTATATTTTTTTTAGAAAAGAAATATTTTTTAGATAAGAAGAAATATGGAATGTTTCTAATTTTTAAATATATCATTTATTATCATTAATTAACTTTGGTTTGCTCCAAACACTGTAATGTAAAAATTGACTAATATTTTACACCATTTTGTGTTTGATAACCACACTTGTACCAAAATCTGTAAATGAATCATAAGTATTAACCCAAATACTAGCATGAGTATAACTATGTTTAGAGACTTTTTTAATTAATTTTTGTACTTTATTGATATTTGGTGTGTAGCCAAATCTGCTAAGTAAAAGTCTTTCTAATTTAAATTTGATTGAACCTTTAGTTCAATTGTTACCTTTATTTTTAATTTCTTGAAGAATCTTAAAAACTTTTGAATGATCATCAGACTTGCAAACAACTTTAAATAATTTGTCTATTGTAGCAAAATATTGATTTTTTGCATTATCAAATTCATCTTCAGCTATCTGAATTTTATTATTTGACTTTTTGTAAATTTTCAAAGTAGATATTGTTTGTAATATATAGTATTTTAAAAAAAAATTAAATACACTTACATTTTATTTATATAAAAAATAATTCTAATAAAAATTTTTTATCAAAATTTTTTTACTATTCTAAGTAATATATAATTTAAATTAAACAATAAAATTATATTTAAATTAATTTACATTTTTTAAATCATTTTATCAGTTGATACTAATATTATAAATAACAAAAATATATTTTAAACTTTGTAGAAAATAATTTTGAATACAGGATTTATAATTAATTTCAATTAATTAGTTATATATCAAATTAATTAAAGTATCTACAATTTATGTTAAACCAATTTGTATTTGCATAATTCTGATTATCTAATCTACAGTAAGAAAAAATGATATTAAGATGCCAATTGATTATTAGGTATATAAATATTGTGGTTGATTAAATCAGTACTTTACTGTTATACTCACATTTATCTTAAAAGTATGCAATTTTATATAAATTAGGTACATTAGTAACTATAAATTCATTAAAATTTGAAAATGAATTAGCTGGGATACAAATTAAGTAAAATTTAAAGCATGAGTCAAAAATGACTTATAATCAATTATATCAGTTTGTTACAAATCTTGATTTTCTGATAATGTTTGTTGGTCTGATATTTTCTAATATTGCTAGTATTGCTATTGTATTTTATTTACCATACTTTTATAAAATAATCAACTTTGACAAACTTGAAAATTTGTCTTAATGTATATATTTTCTATGATTTGAATAGCCATTAATGACAGTTATTTATAGAAAAATAGTAGATTACTTTACTCTTATTCAAAACCATAAAATTTTTGAAGATAAATTTTTTTACAAAATTAGCAAATACTTCTTGTATTTAATATATATTGCAATTATTATATTTGTCGCTACTTATATTTATATAACAACCTAGATATACACTGGTAAAAAATTATATAACAAATTCATAAAAGATATCTTCATACTATCCTTCAGCAAATATAGCTTATTTTGATAATGTTAGCACAGGCAAAATTACTACTTGTATTGTAAATAATACTTATTTAATTCAAGATATCATTAGCAAAAAGGCTTCTCTTTCATTTCAAGTAAATAAGTTTGAAATTGTTAATTGTTTATATTCAAAATTTAATTATTAATATTAATTGTTATTTATTTATATAGTATGCAGTTCAATTTATTTCTGCTTTCATAATTGCATTCATTATAAGTTAGAAAATTATTCTAGTTATTTGTTGTTTGATTTTATTGATCAGATTAACAAGCATTATAATAAATAAATTCATCACTATTTTGCAAAACAAAGTTGAATAATTATTCTTTAGCAGAAAAAATTGTAGAGGAATCAATTTCAATAATTAAAACTGCTATTGCACTTGGCAATCAAAATAAATTGTCAAACATTTACGATAATTATTTAGTAAAGGCAAAAAATAAAGAAACTAAAAATAGGGTTTGGGTTAATATTCTAAAGATCAAAATCCTAAAGGTACTATATCCCAATATATTGAATCCTAAAAAAATAAAATCTCAAAGATATAATATCCTAAAAACTAAATCCAAAAATAAAAATTCTAAAAAAAAAAATTCTAAAAAAAAATTCCCAAAAAAAATTCTAAAAAAAAAATCTTAAAAAAAAATCCTAAAAAAAAAAAAAAAAAACTCCTAAAAAAAAAAATCCTAAAAAAAAAAATCCTAAAAAAAAAATTCTAAAAAAATTATAATGTGAAAAAAATATAACTACAGAACTACTGTGCTATAAAGTAATATGACTATTTGACTTATAATGATAACAATTATAGGATTATTGATTGTTTTATTATAAGCATTTAGAGTTATCTATATAATGATTATATAGGTAAAAATTGTTGATAGGAATATTGTAATCATTAAAAATTAAGTGATATAATAGAATTACATAACCATTCTGAATAATAAAAATGTTTTCATAAATGGTTTTATGATACTTTGCTGAAACTACCAAATTAGCAACTTTAGAACTACTTTAAAATAACTATAAAGTAACTATAAAGTAACAATATAGTTACTTTATAGTTGCTATAGTTTTATATTTACTTTAGAGTAACAATACATCTACTATTACTTGCTACTATTTTACTACTATTTTGCTACAATATTACTATACTTTTACTACAATTTTATAAAATTTTTTTGTAAAAAAAAAGTTTTAACTTTTTTAAAAAAAAATTGTAGTAAAAGTATAGTAATGTTGTAGCAAAGTAGTAGTAAAGTAGTAGCAAGTAGTAGTAGACGTATTGCTACTCTAAAGTAAATATAAAACTATAGCAACTATAAAGTAACTATATAGTTACTTTATAGTAACTTTATAGCTATTTCAAAGAGTTCTAAAGTTGCTAATTTGGCAGTTTCAGCAAAGTAGTTTCTTAAGCAATCCATAATTTAGAAGACAATTAGCCAATCATACAAATCAATTTTATTATATTTTTAATAGTTAATAATGATTAGATCAAACTTTATATCAGGAACATAGTAATGAAATTATAGAGTTTATAGTTGACAGATAACTAGAATAGCTTCTGAATTATGTTTAGATAGTGGTTAGATATATGAAACTATTATAAAACATGTATATATACATAAATAGATGTATTGTACTATAGAGTGAGGTTTGTTCTGATTGGCTTATGTGAGTCAATTTCCTGGATAAGAGTCAATTGTCTGGATAACTTGTTTATATACTTTAAAGTACATTTGAAAAATTTGATGTTTCATTAATGAAAAATCAATACAAATATTGTTGTTGGTAATAATGTTTGTTATACGGGTAAATTCTCAAAACTGACACATTTGGATATAAAGATGAAATATGTGGTTGTTTTTAGATAATACAAAATTATGTTGTGTAATAAAGGTATTGTAAATGTTTTTTATTAGGCTATTGCAAATTTAAATTAATTTAAAGATAAACAGTACTTTAAATAAAATGTATAAGTCAATTATTTATGTTCTAATAATTATTAAAAAGTTTATTACTAAACTTGAATCCCTAGTACAAGTCTACTAATTATATTATATTTTTGGTTTGAGCATGACTATATTGTGCAGTTATCTAATTAATTATTATCATTTATTTTTAATAATCACCAAAATCTGCCCATACATTATTAGATTATTCCTCCAATCACTATTTCAAGAAAAACATTAGTGGTATTCATCTTTTTCAACTCCAATTCTATTAGAATATCTTATGTTCGCTCAAATTCAATTAAAATTCTTATTTTCACCTTTTTCAATTCCAATTCCATTAGAATGTCTTATGTTCATCTTTTTTAACTCTAATTCTATTAGAATATCATATATTTGCTTTTTGCAACTCCAATTCCATTAAAATTCTTATATTCATCTTTCTAATTCTATTAAAATTTTTATATTCACCTTTTTCAACTCCAATTCCATTAGAGTATTTTATATTCACCTTTTTCAACTCCAATATCTTATATTCATCTTTTTTAACTCCAATTCTATTAGAATATTTTATGTTCGCTCAAATTCAATTAGAATTCTTATGTTCACCTTTTTTAACTTCAATTCTATTAGAGTGTCTTATATTTATCTTTTTTAGCTTCAATTTTATTAGAATATCTTATGTTCATCTTTTTCAACTCCAATTTCATTAAAATGTGTCTTATATTCACTCAAATTCAATTAGAATTCTTATGTTTACCTTTTTCAACTCCAATTCTATTAGAATTCTTATATTTATCTTTTTTAACTCCAATTCTATTAGAATATCTTATGTTCATTCAATTTTAATTAGAATTCTTATGTTTGCCTTTTCAGCTCCAATTTCATTAGAGTGTCTTATATTTACCTTATTTAACTCCAATTCTATTAGAATGTCTTATATTCACCTTTTTCAACTCCAATTCTATTAGAATATCTTATATTCTATCAAATTCAATTAGAATTCTTATGTTTGTCTTTTTCAACTTCAATTCTATTAGAATGTCTTATATTTACCTTTTTTAACTCTAATTCTATTAGAATATCTTTGCCTTTTTCAACTCCAATACTATTAGAAATGTCTTATATTCACCTTTTTCAACTCCAATTTCGTTAGAATATTTACTAAAGATTCAAGTTTAGTAATGAACTTATTAGAACATAAATAATTGGCTTATACATTTTATTTAAAGTACTGTTTAAATTAATTTAAATTTGCAATAGCCTAATAAAAAACATTTACTATACCTTTATTACACAATATAATTTCATATTATCTAACAAACAACTACAAATTCAGTCTTCATATCCACATGTGTCAGTTTGAAAATTTATCTATAAAACAAACATCATTACTAACAACAATATTTGTGTTGATTTTTCATTAATAAAACATTGAATTTTTTAAATGTACTTTAAAGCGTATAACAAGTTATTCTGATAATTGACTCTTATTTAGTCAATTGACTTATATAAGCCAATCAGACGAACTCTATTCTATGAGTACAATACATCCATTTATGCATATATACATATTTCATAATAGTTTCATATGCTTAACCACCATTTAATTATAGAAGCTATTCTAGTTATTTGTCAACAATAAACTTCTTAATTTTATTACTATATTCATGATATGAAGTTTGATCTAATCATTTATGTAATATTAAGAATTGCCAATATTAACCATTAAAAATAAAATTGTTTTGTATGATTGGCTGATTGTCTTCTGAGTAATGAATTGCTTATGAAACCATCATAAAACTATTTATGAAAATATTTTTATTATTAGAAATAGTTATATAATTCTATTGCATTACTTAATTTTTAATGATCATGATATTCTTATCAACAATTTTCACCTATATGATCATTATATAAATAATTCTAAATACCTATAATAAAACAATCAATAATCCTATAATCATTATCATTATAAGTCAAATGGTCATATTACTTTATAATACAGTAATTTGTAGTACAGTGCCTGACAAAAGTTTCCCTGCACCCATAACTTGGCACAGAGATATGGTAGAGAAAAAATTTTTTTTTATTTAAAAGAATATTAAATTACATGAAAATTAATGCATAGTATAATCACCCTCAGATTCAATTAGGGCCTCTACACAACGTCTCATACTCCTTACCAAATTAGCCATATACTCTTTAGACAATTGATTCCATTCTTTGGTTATCTGCACCCTCAGAGTACTAAGCTTTCTAATTTTTTTTTTGCCAGGTTCATTTTCATAAGTCCCCAGACATTCTCAATCAGGTTTTGGTCGGGTGACATCGACGGCCAGGGGAGAACTGCAATATCATTTTCCTTCTTTCATGTCTTCGTGATTTTTGAACGGTGCTTCAGGTCATTGTCCTTCTGCAGAATTCAACTATCACAACCTTTGCCAAAAAGGTCTACAGCAGAAGATAGAAGAGCTATTTCATACAGGGTGGTCATATATTGCGCATTAAGGTTTTGTATAAAGCAGACTAACCTTTCAAAGCCTAAAGAAGAAAAACACCCCCATATATGAACCTTCAACGGATGCTTGATGGAACAGGTTATTTTCCTTGCTCCGATGAACTACCAAGCTTTTTTTTAACCATTGATTCAAGCAGAATGTACTTTCATCTATAAATATCATGGTGTCCCAATCAAAATTCTTATGTTTCTTCGCCCACGAGAGCCGTTTTTTCTGATGCTATCACCCAGACCCACCCCTCTATGCAGCTTATTAGTACAACAAAATACAATAAATAGGAAACTCTGTTTCCTA